TGGGAGTTAAAGGGTTAAATGTACATACCAGTTTTAGAATGAAAGGAAAAAAAAATTACATAAGGTAAAGCAGAGTAGAGTATCGTGAAGAGGTAAATACCCCCTTTGTCTCAATGATATATTTAGGGTTGTGAATTAGGGGGTTAATTGTCCAAGACTCCTTGGGAGCTTTCATTCATGAGTTGGCTGTATTCTGACAGCAGAATATGACAACTACAATTTATTAAATGCACACACTAATTAAAAAAAAAAAGAATTCATGCTTTCCTTTTTTTCCTTATATTTGACCTCTCATATGCACTATCCAATTTTTACAATAGTTTTAATGTGGCAAAAATTCCCACCCAGTTCATTAATTGATCGAGTAAATTATAAAATGTTACAGGCAGAATCATCTGATTCTCTGAGGCTGATAAAAGCAACTTGTGTTCCATACTGGCTACCATCTCGTCGGAATGAGAAGAATCTTTGCTGGGGGTCACAACTTGTACATTGGGTTGGGTGCTGAGATTTTGAGGCATCATCAGTTGCTCTGTAAAAGGAAAAAAAGCATGTTCCTCTCTACTTCTAGTCAATTCCCAGTGCTATCAAAGACAATGGTGTAGTTGCAGGGTATTCCGGGCTGCCCCCTTATACCTTTTAACACATAGTGATACCTTGTAATGATTAAACAAACTGGCACGCCTTTTCTTGTAAGACACTGTTGTAGCACTCCTTTTAATTGAAAATTCTTCCTGCAAACCTGATCCATCCCACACTACAGTAACATTAAAAAGTTGGAAACCAATACCGCATTGTTTTTTCGGGGAATTTCACAAAGTTCCTTTCAGTAGAAGATAAGGAATGCATTATTGTTGAATTGTCATAGGGGTTGAGAGTGGGTGGCCTGTGGATATTTTGCACCCCCTTCTGAGAGAATACAGTAAGGAAGATTGGTGAGGTTTTGGAGTGGGTTGCCTGTGGTTATTTTACACCCTCTTCAGGGAGAATACAGTACTTCATAATGTGATTACATTAAAAAAAGAGTCTTAATGCATGTTCTTTGGTACTTTTTAGACAACAGTACTTCCAAATCACTCATTGTGCAGATTGTGAAACAAGCTCTAAATCCAAGCCTTCTCTTTTAACTCTTTACACCCTAACATTAGTCCATATTCCCCATACTGTTCTCTGTAAATTTCCATAGTACTGACAAGGAGAATTTGTATAGCAATCAAAGAGCTTTAGTTGGCTATCATATTTGACCAATATATAGATTTAGCCAAGCCTAAAAGTGGAGCTCGCATTTTTTTTTTCCTGCACGTCTCAAGGCCTTGCCCTGGCCAGGAATAGAACCCGGGTTGTCCAACTCGGAGCCCAGTGCACTGACCACTGGACTACTGGACAAAGCCATGGCATTGATGTGCTCGCAGTACAGTTGACCACACATGTTATAAGTAGCATCTTGTATGGTCGTACAGTCGTACAACCAAATTTTTTCAGCTTGATGGGTTACTACTATTTTGTATAATTATAGGGCTACACTCTGCGAGCTCTGCTATTATGACTTTGATATTTGATTTAGTGGTGATACTGAAAGGAAAAGTTAGAAGCTGGTCACTGTATTTGTTAAAGGGTTAATGTCTTGATATCGAATTTCCTCCCCTGAGAAAAGCAAAAGCATTTGGAATGAACTCTGTAAATTGAAGTTATCTGAATCCCTATCCCAGTGGCAAAATCTAATCTTCAAATGTTACCCACTGAGGATCAATAATGCTTGTGAAGCTGTTGCATAAATTTCTAAAACAAACCATGAAATGAAAATAGAATTTGAATAATTGATTGTTCCTTTCTTCCAATTACCTTGTATTATCATCAATGTTCTTTGGAAGCACTCCTTTTTTCTCAAGTTGCATTCTAATGGAAAGGCGAAGATCAATAAATGGGCGTGGTGAACCATCCTTTCGCACCACAACACTATCATTGAATGCCTCAGCAAATTTTTCAGCCTCTTCCTCCCCAACTTCGAAGCAGCAAGGGCCGATTGAGGGTCCAATAGCAACTTGAATATTTTTTACTTTACATTCAAACCTTGTCAACATTACATCAACAACAGCAGCACCAATCATGGCTAATGTTCCACGCCACCCAGAATGAGCAGCACCACAAACCTGAAAACAACCATAATTGAAGAAACACCAACTATAAATTCCACAAAAATAAAAAGGTACTTAGTTGAAAGATAATTAGTCCTGAATGTACTTTCAAGAATGTTAACCTTTTACACCCCAATATTAGTCTCAAAATTCTCAATACACTTCTCTATACATTTCCTTAGTACTGACAAAGAGAATTTGTTTAACAATCCAAGCCTCTTAGGTTGGTGATCCTTTCTTTTATTCTTGTGATTTTAATGAATGATTCAGCAAATTACTGTTGTGAGAAATTAGATGCTGATAACCCATTGGGTTTTTAAGGGTTTCAAATGTCAGACTTTGTAGTTGATAAGTATTCTCTTCACTTCTTTCCTGGTATATCTTTTAACCCTTTAACTCCCATTAGTGACCAAGACAGAATTTCTCCTTACAATATTAATACAATATCAACCAGATAAGTGACGAGAATTAAAGAAAATATCAATTTGGGGATAATTAGTTGAATCAATACTAAATTCTCTGAACTAACATGATAAGAATTGTATGGTTGACAGAAAGGAGAATTACAAATTTGATCTGGGAGTTAAAGGGTTAAATAATGTGAGGGGAAGGTTACAAGTTAATCCCTTCCAGGACTAATGGATTGGGAGTGGTTTAGCAGGTGCCTGGGTATGTTTACCTTTTTCACTGGATCACAAAACAGCACCACAGGACAGTCAGCACCTGGAGCAGCCAATGTGAACTGCCTGTTATCAGTTACTAAGGCATCATAGCTGTCTGGTTGTGGATCTCCAATCACCCACACATCAGCCCCATGAACACATTTAGCCACACGAAATTTCTCAGGGTTGAATCTTGCAGTCAAGGCAAGTCTACGACGATTTTCCTGGACGTTGATGTCTGGATCTCTTCTTTTGTCACTGTACATCAAGTTGAGAGAGGATAATGTGTTGTAGGTTGAGACACCACCATATCTTGTTGTAAAACCATGATTGAACACATCTGTTGGAACCAATGATGAATGAAGAATTTCTATCATTTTTCCATCAGGCAGTGTAAGTTTGGGCATTATTATTTTGATGTGCTCATCTATTAAGGGAAATAAACTTTCTTCTCTGTCTTCCACATGTTTCTTCTCTTCATCATTCATCTCATGTGTGCACTCATAGTAATTTATGTTGTAAACTTCTGGTGAGTAGAGCTGAAAAGACAAAAAAACACAATATACTGTATAGTGAGGAGACTTAAAGGAACTCTTAAAAGTTACATCTGATGTATTTGCTTATACCCTGTGGAAGGTCATGTCAGCAGATCTTTTGACCTCCAAGAGCATTTGTTGGCTAATAGTTACTGTTGGTGACCAGATTTACAGTCGGCTTCTTATTAAAGGTAAATCTTCTAATTCTGAACAACAGGAGTAAGCTGTATATTTGGTCAAACTTCTCCTCAGGAGCCTATATTTTGAGAGTACATAGCTGCCTTCCCATAATGCTGGCCATCCAGGAAGTCTGTTAAAGCAGAGTCACATTTGTGAACAAAGTTACAAGAACATACCCTTTCAAAAAATTTCTTTGCTCTTTCCATGTGCAACTGTGTTGTGACAACATGGACATTACTGGCACCAAACTGATCTATAATAATGCGACTGTAATAAGAATTTTCTGCTGTGCTGCTTGCTTGTTCCTCCTTGATTATATGTTTTGGATCAATAAGATTGTTTTCTACCGCATATTTTTCTATGGCACTTGCTTCTGTCACAACCTGTTGAAATTAACTCCTTATTTAAAAGGAAACAAAAGAAAGCCATTTTACATCTGGGAGTGAGGGAATACTTTTCCTTTTTGTCTAAACTGGATATTGATTCTTATTATTTTAGCCTGAATTCAGGTGGGGTGTTCCACACTCTTTAATTGACCTGTGGAATTGATTATGTTTGTTGCTGTTTCTTCTTTAGACTGTGGTCTGGTCTACAATGGGAAAACTACAGGAAATCAATAAATAAAGGGTGAGCACTTTGAAAAGCATAGCACCCAATTCTCATCCAGGTTCTCAATGCATACTATCTCGCCCAGGTAGAAACTACAGGTGACTTTAAGATGGGCTTTTGAATATCAGCTCATATTCATAAACACTTGCTCCTAGCAGAAGTATTAAAGACTGACAAATTTAAGAGGAAAAGGTGTGTGTCATGCAGTCATGTATGTACCATTCTGAGCCAGGGAATAAAATTATTTTTGTTTCCCAGATGAGGCAGAGCAGGGAATACCTGATCTTGTGCACAATATCCTGTAACAACGACTCGACAGTCAATATTTTTTTGTTGTAATGAAGTGTACAGCTCAGCTGCTCGATGCACTCTAGACTTTAACATCTCTGAAGGGGTACCATCTTCACTGGTCCTGCAGCCAAGAACAACAATTATGTCACTGGGTGTATCAGCCTCTGCCATATTCTCTGCAAAGAAATTGAAATCTGAACCATTACAGATTGGACAAAGATTTTCTATGTAGCATCAATATATAAAATGTTTCACTCATTTAACTAGCAAAAGGAAAAGTGAATGTGGTGAGATCAAAACCTCACCACAACAAAATCACAGAATTATAGGAACTTTAAAAAAAACATGACAGCAAAGGCAACTTAATGGTAGCGAGACAAAAGATTTGATGAGCAGAGAAACAGCTCTGCAGAAGACACTTTTTAACCATCCTATGCAGAATAACAATATGAAATCACAATTTTTATGTATTCTTTGAACAGAAACCTTGATTGCCATTAAGCCACATTTTTACTTGGAACTCAATGCTGCAATCACATGCTTTGTTAGGGGAGAGATCTTGCACCATCAGAAACTGTAAATACCTTGACCCACCAATGAAATTATTAGGACAAATGGTTATTTCTTTTTTAGGTGACATTTTCCCAAGCATTGATGTCTTGAGATCTTAAACTCCCTGGTATCAACTCTTAGGATCCAATGTCAGAAAAAGTAAACTACTAGAAAAACACTGAGGGAGGGAGGTGTCATGTCACACTTCTTCATCCTCTGAATTCACCCATGAACTGATAGCAATTCTCCTACAGGACTTTTGATTCCTCATCTTACTATCAAGGAAACATCCAATGAAAGCTGCAGTTTAGATTTCCATACAACAATCATTTGTTGATAAGTTGATCAAAGTATTTGGATTGGTGGGAGATGGGCATAATGAATATTTTGTAAACAAATTAGGAGCATGTGCAGACTCCATGAAAAGTTTGAATCACAATGTTTTACACTACATTAGGACCTCACTTCATAACCTAGCCAGGGTTACTGAGACCACTAAATTTGTCATTACAAGCACCGTTCTGCAACCTGTGTTGATCACGTGTGATCAATTTTGACAGTTCATACAATGATGATATAAGCGAAATTTCACCACTGCCTGCATGCTGCTTCGATTTCCCATTAGCCCTCCCTTTGTTACCCCAGGAACTTACCCGGTCTCCTCCCCCTTTCAGTGACTCTACTAGGATTTTGACTGGTACTTTGCAGCAGTGTTTATATAGACATGTCTGCTCGTTGCCAAACAGACCTTCTCTTCTACAGTACTCACAAATAAAACTGTACTTTAACAGTTTGCAGCTGCGGAAATGCTTTGGGAAGGTGATAGTGACTAGGGATTATCGTTTGCTAACTGCAATAGCCAAATTGATAGCCTCGGAGATTTCACACCTATGACACAAATGCATCGAATTAATCACCCCAGGAATCAGGAATTTGGGGCATTTAGGATAGATGTTATCTTTCCAATCAAACACTTTGGGCACAGTATGCACTGCACTTGTCGGAGATCATGTCAAGTGAATTTTCAAATGCACGGGAGAATTTTGAAGCTTTTCAATCGAATGTAAACATACTTAGTGTTACACAAACACGAATAACAAATGCCATCAGGTTAGGATTTCTAGAACCTAAAGCATTTGTCAATTATGCTGAAAGTGCAAGAATGCAAGAGCGATTTAGGCGAAGGCTCCCCATTATTCCGCCGACAGTGTTTTACAAAAAAGGAGTAGGTATATCGTACCTATTTGGAGATCCTCGTCTATTAAAGAAACAGTTCAATCGCGACAAATCTGAAGATCCCACTGCATTCCGTTTAAAGTTGCGTTCCTAAGCGGAAGTGGTCGAGAGAGATGGGAGGCATGGACTCTAGTGAATTGTCACGCTTACCTTGTCACAGGTCACCCAAGCCGAAAGCAAAGTGAGCCTGTGAACCATGGTTGTTCTTACATAGAAGGCACTTAAAAGGCACCACTTAAGGCACCAAATACGCTCTAGGAACCTTGTTGGTGATCCGCTGCCTTGCAACTGTCATGCAATCATAAACAACATATGTAGAAACTCAGCTTGCAAGAGATATTCACAGACTATAATTGGTTACAGATTGTTTCATACCTGACTAATATGAGCCTGCTTCATTCTGATGGTAAACAGTCATTACAATATTTCTTGATGCTTTACACAAGGAAACCACTGGCTACCTCAAACCTTTTCTAACTTGGGTTAGGGTAATACAACTGCAGAAAACTTACCATCAAAAGGTTTTGCGCAAGACCAGGGTAGATAAGGAATATTGGGTTTCTCTACTATAGTTCCATGAAAAATGTTACTTTCTTTTCATATGAGGAACTCTGAGCATTTTGATCCACATCCATTACTTGTTTGCATGGCGAATTGTCAGTTTGTTGGAACTCTCTGTTTATTTCACTTTATATGTTTCTTTCTTTACATAAGATGGAATTTACTAATATTTTAAAGGCCATGCACAAGCAAGCCCTGATGGACTGACAGAAAGTACTGTTGATGAGATTAGGCTAAAAAAGATCTGCAAATAAAGCAGTTATCATGTGAAGTCATCCATGACTGACTACATTGCAAATTCTCCTTAACCAAGTCTCTCTGGAGTCAAAGTCAAGACCACACCCACCTTATATTCAAGATGAGGACTTATCTATACTAAATCAAAAAGAATCCAGCTGTTTTATAATCTGCAACTTTGTCAGTTTTCTTTCACAAATGAAACACTGAGGAAATGACAAACTCAAAGTATAAAGCTTGGCACAGAATTTAGAGAAATTTGATAATTAATGGATCTCTTCTGATATCTCTTCCTCATCAGGATTGTCATCATCACCATCTACTTCAGCATTTTCTCTTTCTAATCTTTCCATTTGCTTGGCAAGCTCAGCCTCGTCACTCTCTGTGACAACCTTTGGCTGCAAATATATTGAAAAAGAAAGATATAAGATTCTGATTTATTTCCTTCAAAATTAGGAGTGCTTGTGACTTCCTCCAGGGCATAGACTAGGCAGGTATTTCAATAAAAGCCAGTTACCAGCTGTCTATTGTTACCTCTAGGACCTCTCACCACAGGCTGTTTATCCTGTGAGCAGGCTTTCATGTTTGGGTTTCACCTTAATGCTTAACACATTAATATCAGTATACCTCTTGTCCATACTGTTCTCCATACATTTCCTAAGGTGCTAACAAGGAGACTTTACAATCAAGAGCTTTTTAGGTTTGTGATCATTTCCTCTATTCTCTAATCTTAATGTATGATTCAGAGGTGATTTTGCAAGGAGAAATTAGATGCTCATCACTCTTAAGTTAAGGTACAGAAGCCTATTACACCATCAGTAGCTGCTTATGAAAAAAGGTTTCTGTAACCCCTGGCTAAGGGTAACCTTAGTTTCATCATTGTCACACAAAAGGTAAAATTGATAAGCAACTGATTATCCTAACCCAGTCTGACACTTCTTACTTCCTTGCAAGATGCCAGACAGATTGTGACATCCCCAAACTCCCAAATGTAAAATATCTACCTTTTCTTTCATTTTTAGGTGGCAAAGGTGCATGTAGTATTTCATATTCAAGAACAAAGAAGTTTCAACTTACAGCAGCTTTTTCATTAAAATCCCCTCCATATTTTTTGATCGTAGTTCTTATGGCATCCACAGCATTTGTCAAAGCTTGGAGTCCCTCGTCACGATCCAAGGTTGTTGTCGTAATCACATAAAGAGGTGCTGCTATCAAATTTATCTAAAAAGATAGTGGACAACTTCAAGTAATTATGCTGTATTATTCTGCTTAAATGTTAAGAGTATTTGTATTTTGAATAATTTTCAGGTATCTTCACTGATGCCAAGCATTACATTAGCCAGATTTAGTTCAGTTATTTACAAATTACAACAAACCATCCCATCAGTCATATGCAAAGTCTGGGCTTCTGTATTCAGTCTCAATCAAAAGAAAGAATAGCAAAGAAGGAAACTCCTCCAAAGTAAGTGAGGGAGCTTATTACACACACAAAGCGAAACTTTTCTGTAGACAATTCCTTAACTAATCAGACTGAAAATCTCCAGTCATCTGACAAAACTTTTACTTAAGTGTTCCTTTGAAACATCAGCCTGTTGGCTCTTCCTGCTAAAGCTTATCTTATTTTCTGTATTGAAGTGCTAGAAGTACAACCACTATCCTTGAATAGGATACTGGTCCATTAAGGGTACATGCAACCACAACCCTCTCCTACCCTGGCTTTTAAACAGAGAAAAATAGAAACCTAGTTTAAAATTTAACCCTGGGTTAGCGTTAATCCACCTTCAAACAACTGGGCCCTGAACATCTTCCTTTGTCAAGAGAATAAAGGGGGTAAGTCGCTAAAGAAACTGTGGTGGTGCAACCATGAGCAGTATCGCATTTCAAGCATTGACCCTCAGTCATTTGCTCTGACAAGAGGCTAATGCTTGAAAAGTCAGCTTTAGAAACTCTCAACAATGGCCAATTTGTATCATAATCTCAGTTTATGAAACCAAATTCCCTCACTCGTGAGTCTAGGGTGCTAACCATAAAGAACCACCAAGGGTGAAGCTGGCAGGGGGTTCAGGGGTGCCTGTGACCCCCCCTTTGTGAACTTTTTTTAAAATTATTTTTAAGTAAAACATGGCATGGAAGTCAACATGACAATCTGGTGAGTACCCTCTGTTTGACAAAGTGTGACTTCCCTTTGAAAGATCCTGGCTATGCCCCTGACAACATCTACCACTCTCCTACTAATGTGCACCAACCTTGATAGGAACATCTTCTGATGTACACTTCAGTCCTTCTAACAAGGAGTTCTTCACAGCATCAATGCCATCATAGGCATAACATGACACTTCAATATCAGCACGGATCTTGACAGCTTGGGGAGTAAGCCTTCGTGTTATGTTAGACAGTAAGGTAGATTTGGTCTTTTCATCAAGATCCAACTCATCTAGTAATTTTGGGTCCCTAAAATGAATTAAAAATAATTTAGTCTTAGGGCAGAAGTACATAGGCATGTTATAACCTTATTAATCTTATAGAAGGACCCAGGTTCCAGCCTGGGTCAATTCATCATGATGTACTCTTGGTAAAGCCAGGTAGCATAAGCAATATAATTACCAGCAAAAAGTTCTCTGAAGTTTTATTTTATTTGTCCCTCATCTTAGAGCTAGATACAAGTTATATTTGTAAAAAATCCTTTCTTGCTTCCCTAATTGATAGGAAAACCAGACACATTTATTGTTTTTTTAGAAAAGGAGATCAGGGTTCAAGGTTCTGAATACAGCACTCCTCGAAAACAAAAAGCGCAAACTATTGGTGTTGCAGAAACCATTGTTGATTAGGTACTGTAGTCTTTTGTGTTCTGCATACCTACAGCTTTTATTCTTAATATTTGTAGTACATCCTTAGTGAATGTACCATCTATGCCACTTGGCAGCTACCAATTTGTGTTTAAAATATTCTCACCCAACAGCTAGTTTGAACACTTCAAATGAACTCCCTGGTGATTTGTACTTCTCATCAAAATACCAAGCTGTCTTCTCATACAGCTCCTCTAACTCACGATCTGTCTCATATCCTAAGATCTCTGCACAGTGCCTCAGAATACTGTACACCTAAAGCAACAAAATGAACAGATGAAAAAAATGGGGTATTGACTGAATTAATAAACTCTAAAAACAGATTAATGTTTTACAATGGCAGTTATCCAGTATTACTCAATAAAATCAACTCAAGAGATGAATCTTTAACTCCCAGATCTCATTGCAAATTCTCTCCTCTAACTGCTACATATTTCCTTCTAAATAAGTTTCAAGAATTTGGTGTAAAATCAAGATAACAACCTCTACGTGATAAGTTTGAGTATTCTCATCACCTGTTTGCTTAATAATGTATGGATATTATAGGGAGAAGTTACATGTTAATCACTTCTGAGAGTTAAAGGGTTCAAACTACTATTGATGAGACTTACTGCTTTAGCTTTGGTGAACTTTTCCTCACATTTCTTGATTTCTTCTGGTGAGACTCTTCTCTTGGACAAGTCAATATATCCTGTCAAATTATTGGACATCAGTTAAAAAGTCAGACTAGAAAATATTGTATTTCTGCTTTCTATGAAATTTGAACATCTTTGGGAACCGACTGGTCTGTAATTGACTTCTATTGTCATTATTAACAGTTGTGTTATGTAGAGAGGAAACAAAAGTATTTATATCTTATGTTCACACAGATTTACTCCATTTCATTTGCTTCATGATGCTAAAAAAGTATATCAAATAGTCAAACAAAAATAATAATAGTTTTATTGAGAGGATAGTGAAAAAGAAGAGTTATTTTAAGGTTAATAACTGATGGATTTTACGTCGATGCGCATGCACCAGAAACCATGACAACATTAACACTTCCTATTAATGTTCCTAGTGCCTCCATTTTTGGGATGATCATAATCACTCCGAAAAAAATTAGGTTTATTCTGAAATGGTAGAATAGCTACGATTCTCAGGGCCAATAAGGTCTTCTTTATCTAGTAAAGCTTATAAATTTCTGGTGGACGTCCCCAATGCGCATGCACTGCAAGTAACAACGTAAAGAAATGCAATATTTGTTTCTGATTGTGAAATTTACAAAAAGAGAAGACCAACAAACCTTTGTCCTTGTCTACACGAATAACCACCACACACTCGTGTCTTCCAACCCTGATCAGTTTGTTTATCGAACGAATTCTCCTCCTTGACAATTCGCTCAAAAGAATCATTCCTTCAATGTTGTTGTATTCCAGCAAATTCACGTATGCTCCCATTTCAGCGATGCT